CCCACACTGCCAAAGCAACCCGCCCCCCCTGTCACAGGCGGCCAAAGGGACCTGCTCAGGGGGGAAGTGGCACAGTGGCTGCAGCAGGTATGCTCAGCCCTGCCTGGGCACACTGAGGCAGCCTGTGTGCCCTCCAGAGCTCAGACACACAGTTCTAACAGAACACAGCTCGCCTGAGACTCAAAACAACTTTTTACAAGCTTTCTGTAGCCAAGTTATGGCTCCAAGTAACTTCACTTAAGGACTTATTTATTCTGGAGAAGATACAAAGACAGCTGCTTTTAGGAGAAACATCTGAACTAAGTCTCAAGTAGAACGAGACTCGCATCCAAAACAGAACCTTGGAAGGCACTTGAGTGCTCAGGGGATAAACATCAAAACTCTAACCACAATTCCCCTTTTGTAGGACACAATGAAAATAAAGGAATGTAAGAAAACAAAGTATTGTAAAATATTTTCCCCCAAACGACTGCCACCTTCACACTGACTGACCTTAAAATGTAGAGAACGTGCTCGTAAGCATCAGACTAATTCTACAACAGCTTTTAAAACCCAAAGCTGCTCTACACATACAAAGTGTGACATTCGTTTGCTGTTTGGGCTTTGAAATTTTCCTTTTAACTGCAGATTCTGGTGCTTGCAGGCACCTCAGCTCTGCTCTCTAACATCTACTGGACTCAAAGACACTTGCCCATTCTGTTTCAGAAGATAAAGGGGCACTGGTGTCAGTCAGGGAAAAAGGGAGAGTCAAAGCAAGTGAAGGCAGGGTATCTCTGACTAATGTGCATTTTGACAGGTGATCCTTTTGAAAATGCTCAGAATAAGTCCAAGTCATTCTGTCTCTACTTCCATTTTTTTCCTTTTTTCCTCCATCATCTCCTACCTTCCCTCCCAAACCATAAAAACAGCTATTGAGCAAGACTGAAAAGATGCTACTGCTAAGAAAGAAAGCCTCAGAAGTGGGATTTTACATTAAGAATTGAATTTACACTAAGACTATTTTATACTAGTGACAAACTCACCATATTTCCCTTTTGCAAGCTACCCTAATGGGTTACAGTAGCCCACTGGCCCCCAATTTCATGCTGTTCAGCTTCAACACCCTAGAAATGCTGTGTACCTATATGGGATGTCTACACTGATGGAACCAGAGGTGGCAAAGTAACACACATTCTTACTGCAAATGGAATGATCCTCTTCAAACTAGAGCTCTGATCTTATAACCAGTAACTGGAAAATAGGATTTCTACCCCAAGGCTTCTGTTACTTTCCATCTCTTCACTGGCTGCTCAGCTCATTGTTCATGTTGTCCACTCTCAGCTCCAGCACCCACAGGGCTGCAGAGCACTCCATCACCAGATGGAACCCACTGGGATATTTAGCACAACCCCACAGGTCCCAGCTCACTCCTGTTTCAGCGTGGTAGAGTGCTGCAGAAACAACCTGGAAACCTGTCCTGCACCCAGGGCTCTGCCCTTAGCTCAGCACTGCAGAACATGCATTCTGACTCAAAGGAAGCTGACTGCAGTAACACAGGGAAACCTCACCAGGGAGCCAGCAGGGGTACTATGAAGTCACAACCAAATGACCAGCATTTGATTATCTAATAAGCAGGTAGGCTTCGTTTTCTCTTCCTTTTAGTGGTTTAGTTCAACTCAAAGCAAGACCTTGTTCTCCTCCAGGTTAAAAGGGTTTGAATTTCCTTCTTTACTGTCCTCTCCTGTCAGCACTGAGTTGACAAAGGGTGGAGGAGGTCACGTCTATGAGCAGGAAGTTTAGATCTGGTGATTGCTGCCAACTTCAGCTGAGGTGCCAGCAGTGAAAATCTCTTTATGGGAAAACAGGGCAGGGGGACTTACCTAAAGGTTGCACCAACAACAGAATCACAGCTCAAATAAACTGTTTTCTCCTTGAAAAAACAAAGGGGTGGAAAGAAATGAAGGGAAGTAGTCTTCAGCTGCTGAATATCCAGACACATTAACCACAGAGAATTCTTAATTGGTGTTCCCATCCTTCCACAAGTCAGCAAAGTATCCTCCCTGCAGTCACACTTCCACATCTTGGCCATTCCAGAGCACAGATGGACCTGCTGTCTCTCCACTGCTGCTAGAGATTGCAGGAGCAAAAGCACTAAGCCCACAAGAGGAATTGTTTTGTTCTTTTATTCAAGAGGAAGTAATATTATTCTCTTTTGGAGAGGAAAAAAGGAGTGCTGGATATTTGATAACACAAGGTTATCATTCTTACAGTACAAGAAATATCTTACGTTTTCCTTTTGCCAAACTGTGTGCCAACTAAATCCAACTAGTCAGGAACTTACTGCTGCTTAAAAAAAAATACCTAGTGGGACAGCAAGAAATGATAAAATACTACCAAGACACTACCTTAGCCTGCATTCCTGAAATTGATTTTAAAAAAAATTATATAAAACATTAGAACCCTCACTAAACTAAGCAGGTAACACTGGGCAGATGTGACCAACTCAGAAATCACTCATTGGCAGGGTTAAATGAAAAATACCTTAAAGTTACAACAAGTTGTTAGATTTATGGGGCAAGTGTCAAATTTTAACAGCAGAAAGGCCCTGAATGAGTTAAACTGCAGACATGACTCAATGCTCACAAGCTGTGCAACAAAAGTTTCCTCTGAACCTCTCCCATGGAGGTGTCACTGGTGGATTTCAGCTTTCCAGAGAGGTTGTGGTGCCCTCTGTGTCAGGATAACCTCCCGGCCCAGCGACGTAATTAACACCTCTGTATAAACAAAGATGATGGCAACAGGAGTGTTTCATAGATGTGCTCAGCAGAGGGCTAATTTCTCCTTTATGATTCGTAACCCCATCTTAATTAGGCACTTCAACCAGCAGAGCACCTTGCTTGCTTCCAGTCTGAAGAAAAGATCAAGCTCTGACTGAAAGAGTGACTCAGTAGTGGAAGCTGGAAAGATTTATTCCCTGGTTGGGGTTGTTAACTGCTTTTTCCTCCTCTGCTTTCACTGAACATACCTCAAAGCCATTTTAGCTCTAGAGCAGAAGTCCAACACAGCTGTCTGCCCAAAGTGCTTT